GTGGGCGGGGTGTGTTTGGGGATGTGGGTGTGTGGGCGGGTTGTGTGTGGCCATGTAGTGGTGGTGGTGTGTGCGTGAGTGGTGGTGTGTGCAGGGATGTGGGTGGTCGGGTTGTGTGCATTCCTGTGCGGACATGCAGCCTGTAAGCACAACACGCAAACGCAGCGTGCCCGCGCCCCCTGCACCCCGCCCCACCACAGTGTTTGCCGACGCCTGGGAGCCAGCCACCGGAGAGCGCCTGCTGCAGCGCCACGCCGCGCCCATCCTCAAGCTGCACGGAGGCATGCCGCAGGCAAGGAGGGAGGCGGGGCTGGGTCTGGGGCCGGCGCCGACTGGCCTGGGCAGGAAGGCGGGCAGGCGCCGGCTGATCCCGAGCCCGCCGCTCGTGCACCCCCGGCCAGCATACCTGCTGCTTTTCTCCCGCCTGCCTGCCTTAACCCACACATCTATGAAACAAACTGTATCCACAACATTGGGTGGAGCCACCCTGCTCTGCATCCAGCCTGACCCCTCGCCCCGCCACCCGCCACCCACCACCCGCCGCCGCCGCAGGCGGAGCGCACGGCGGCCTTCCTGCGCTTTGCACGCTGCGCCGCGGGCGTGCTGCTGTGCACCGACGTCGCCGCCCGCGGCCTGGACTTCCCTGCCGTGACAGACATCGTGCAGTTCGACCCTCCGGGGGAGGCCGCGGAGTGAGGCGGGGCTGGGGCTGCGCTGGCCTTGTGCTTGTGCGGGACGGGGCGGGGCAGCGCGGGGCTGGCACGCTGGGGCTGCGCTGGGCTTTGTGCGTCATTTTCCGTCCTCTTTTCCTGCTTCTGCCCTGCAGGTATGTGCACCGCGTGGGGCGCACCGCCCGGCTGGGCCACAAGGGGGATGCGGTGCTGTTCCTGCTGCCCAGGTGAGGGCAGGGCAGGCGGCGAGGGAAGGTGGGGGCTGGGCACGGGCGTGGCTGGGGCGCGCACACGCTGGGGTGGGTACCAGAGGCTTGATCGCCTCCCCGCCAGCAGGGTGTCCAGCCAGCCTGCGGCGTGTGGGGTGGAGGAGGTGCAGGCAGGGCTGCCTGCTTGAGGAGGCTGGCGGCTGCAGGCTTCTCTAACCTCTACCCCCTGCACCCCTCGCCTCGCCCGCAAACCCCTGAACTCCCAACCCCGGCTGCCGCCTGCCCCCCACAGCGAGCGCGGGTATGTGGCGCACCTGGCGGCGCACGGCGTGCGCT